GCCGTGGATCTGCGAGGGGTTAGCTTGGGAACTGTGGGGGTGACGATGGACAAACTTACACCAATGGGGTCTAATAGGTCTGACTCGAACCTCGCCAGCCGGCTATTGTACTCTGCTCTTTTCCTGCCGAGACCGGCCGTCTCGAATCCGCTGGATGAGATGACGCTGGTCTCCCAGCTGAGTTCCCACTTGATGAACTCACGAACCGATTGCAGGACGGAGTGGTGTGCATCCTTCAAAGGCTTGATCGAAAGGGATTTGCCGGCGGGTTGAGCCCTCAGCCAGTTGTCGAGATCTTGGATCCAGCGACCCATCGTGTTGACGTAGTGGGGGAGATCAAAGGGCATGATGGGGCGGTCCGCCAGCTCCAGGATCAGGAGGCAGATGGCTTGCGTCAAAAGGGTGTGGTAGACGAAGCCGGGATCGCCGATTTGATCCACCCAATCGAATGTCTCGTACGTCGAGTGGGATGGAGTGCCGCCGCCGCTGAAGCGCATATCGATTGCCGATGTGCCAACGATGTCCTGGAAGGCGACGAAGTCGGAGCCGCCGCCTAGGGCTTCCAGCTCGCCTTGCCTCTCATCCCAAAGGGCGCGAAGCGTGGTGTCATTGAAGCTGGGGTCCCTGACGTCGTTGAGAACCTCAAGCAGCGCTTTATTGAGAATGGGTGAGCCAGAAGCGTGGAAGTTGCTGCCCGTCACACCTGCGCCGATATTGATGTAGGCGAGGCCATCCCTGCGCAAGTCCTCGTCGTTCTGCTCGACATACTCGGTTGACCCAATCATGTTGTATGCGCCTCCATCCCAAGACATGAACTCGATGGTGCGCAGTGGCCGCCACTCCTGAAGCATCAGGTCGCCAAAGATGCGAATCACCTCCATCATGATAGCCGAGCCCGAGTTGGGATCGGGACCGCCAAAGCCCCAAGCGTCGCGGTGGTTGCCGATGATGAGCTTCTTCTCATTTTGCTCAACGCCCACAATCCGTCCGTAGACATTCCAGATCGGCTTCTTTTCCACCTCGTCCTGGTCATTCTTCAGCCGCACGATGGGAGATGAGCTGTTGCCCGTCCACCAGTGGCTGATCTCAGGCACGCCGCCCACCCAACTTGAAGGGACGTAGTCGCCGAAGTTCTTGAGGTGCTGGAGCAGCACCTGGGCATCACGCCAGGCCAAGGGCAGACTGGGAATCTTGACCAGACCAAGACTTTCCGAGGGCGCGACGCGGAGTGCGGATGCTTTGCTGCCCCAGCCGGGAGTGAGCGGATCGCCAACAATGGAGCTTGACAAGCTGACTCCCGCCCTCTGCACGCCATCGGCCGGCATATATGGCCCATTGGGCGCCGTCTGTCCCCTGACGAAACCATCGTCTGCCGGATCGCTGTAGATAAGACAACCCGCAAAGCCTGCCAGTTCCGCCTCTTTCACCTTCAGGGCCGCATCCCGAGGTTGCCCACCATAGCGCACAAGGGCAATAGCGCCCTTCGTGTCGATTCCCTTCTCCTTCAACCATGCAAAATCGTCCTTCGTCCCGTAGTTCGCGTAGATCAAGGGCCCCTTGACGTCACCGGATTTTGAGTGGCCATGAAAAGCCATTGGCTGTCGACCAGCAACCTCCCCTCCCTTCTCGTCCTCCTCCAGCCTAGCTAACCACTTAGGCTTGCCGTCCGCGCCCAAAATCTCCACCGCCCTTCCGCGGTCTTTGGGATAATTCAGGTAGACCTGATATTCATCGATCGTCACATCCTCCAGCCCATACTTCTTAAACAGCATCTCCGTATCCTCTACCAACGCAAAGTCGCCCGCCGTGCCCGCAAGATGGGAATACCCCGTGTAATGCTTGAGATGGTCTCGTATTCTCCTCGGATCGACGCTCATCTTGACGTGGTTCCGCACGCTGGCCGGGTCGAACATGCGGCTACCCATGCGCCTCGCCATGTTGCTAAACATGTCGCTGACGAAGAGCAGGTAGAGAAACCCAAGCACGAGCATGATAGCCAACACGCGCCCCACGATTAGGAACAGCGCGGCGCTCCCTAGTGTCGGGAAGGCAAACCGCTGCCCTGGCGTCTCTTCCTCGGGCGTAGTGTTGGCGCCCTCGCCACCCGCGGGAGCAGCAGGTGTCCTCCCCAGTCGTATCTGCGGTAACCTCCAGCGCCATCGCCAGCGCCATTGCGGCAGCGAAAACCCGATGCGCTTGCCCCAGGAGGAGCGCCCGCCGCGTGTTTCTGAGTCGTCAATGTCCATCTCTTGCATTTCTCGACGGACGTGCTCGGCCTCGGAGTCCGAGTCCGAATCGCTGTCGGAGCCCAGCAGGCTGTCCTCATCGTCCGTCTCGACCGTCGGCGGCCGGTAGCCCCGCGGCCTTCGTCCCGTAGCATTGTTGTTCGCGGAGGGGAGGTGGTGGCGGTTGTTCAGAAGCGATTGCCCCTCGGCCGCGTCGGGAATGGGGGAGTGTGGCTGATCTTGGCGCTGCCATGAGCCTCCGGCGATGGCTTCATCGTATGTCGGTATCGGGGGGTTCGGATCGTATCTATCGTCGCTGCCGGGCGCCATGATGGCTGCTACCGTGTGTGCGTGCGCGGGGCTGTGTCGTGTGCTGTGGACATTCGAGAGGCCGTCGTCGTGCGTGGGCGTGGGTCGGGCCGGACGCCCTGGAATGGGGAACGAGGCGGACTCGAAAAGGGATTAAATTAGGTGGCCAAATGAGTGTGGTGAAGCGGAAACTCTGCGAGCTCCGTGCTCTAGGGAACGGCGGATCGAGAGAAGGTGCGGCTCATCAGTCCAGCTGCCGCTAGCCGACATGGAATGGGATGGGGATGGCGGATCGTCGTTGCGCCGTTTGTCGTTCAAAATGATTGAACATTGAGGGTTCTGGCGACGGTCGCCCGCTCCATTCGCAACGCGGCACCAGACAGGGGATCTTGGCGGCCGGCACGCTCTCCCCGAGCAGGTGGTCCCGGCTAAAATCTTAGTCATCCCTGCTCTGGAGTTCAGGGATGAGCCATGAATCCAAAACGACGACACCGCATGCCGCAAAATATCATCAAAATTTGTCGACGCCTTTCCAAGATCGACAAATGGACCTGGACAGAATTTATGGTTCATCTTTTTTTCTAGAATTTTTAAAGCTTGAAATCGGTCAGCCAGGTGCGCTTCGCTTCCAGGAGTGAGGCCGCAGCTGATGCACACCCAAACCTCAAACGCGTCAACAACGTCTCCAAACCCGAGCACAGAACCGCGCTGATAGATCGATCTTTTGTCACGAGAAACTTTCAAGGCTCTGTTGTTAGTAGGAACACACACCGTAGTCCCAGTCCGTCAATGTTCTCATTTTGAAGGGGCTGAATAGGAGACAACCGCGAATGGCTGTTGGGTTAGGGTTTTCTATGAGCGTCTCAACCCCGAGGTCTCAGGCCCCCAAAGGAGCCCATTTCGAGAATCCTTGAACTACAACTGCCTGTTTCAGCGCCTCAGCTGCTTGCCGTACTAGACACTGTTGCGTAAATGCTTCTCGGTGCTGTCCAGGGACCATTTGAACAACTCGGCATCATGAGATTGACAACAGACCTCCATCTCGATGTGAAGATGAAAAGTCCCTCTCAACCCAGACATCAACACCACATTGTATTCCCCCTTTTGTCCCAACCCATCACTCAAAATCCGGCCAAAACGTCGCCTCAGCCGCCAACAACGACTTCCACTTCCCCTCAACCCGCGCAATGATCGCATCCCTCGCGGCACCACCTCCCTCCCCAGCCCTCTCAACCGTCTCCGCCACCGCAAAGTCAATCAACCCGCCCAACCTCCCCACAAACTGCGCAAACTCCATACTGCTCCAGTTCGGAATAAACTCATTCCTCAACGCCCCACCGTCCGCATCCTCCCGCGCCGCATCCCCCCGTCCCCCCGCAAGCGCCTGCTTCGACTTGGCCCACGACCACGCATCCAGATAACACCGTTCTGTCCCCCAAAACGTCACCGCCCCCTCCAGCCACGGCAGCGGCTCACTCGGCGGCAGCTCCGCCGTCGCCACAACGCCCTCCCTCTCTGTAATCCCGGCGAAAATCCCCTCAATCATGACCAATCCAGGCAACTTCTTCTCCTCGCTCTGCATACCCACATTGGCACCCTCGGTCCCAATCTCCACATCCAGCCCGTACTTCCCCGCCACCTCGATGAAGAACTTCTCTTCCCTTCTGACTCCGGCAAGGGCTTCAATCAACCAGTCCACCAGCTGCGTCTCGGGGGCTTCGGTCTTGGGGACTTCTTGCGGGAGATCGATGGACGAGAGGAGCTTGCCTGCGGCGCGGATGTACGAGTGGATGTAGAGGCGGTCGTTGGCGAGCCATTTGGAGAGGACGTCTTTGGGGAGGCGCCCTTCGGCCGCGGCGAGGAGGAAGGGGTGTTGGGTTGCGGTGGTGTATTCGTCGGGGAAGGAGGAGAGGAGGTGCGAGGTGAGGGAGAATTTGGACGAGGTTTTGACGAGCATTTTGAGAGGAGGGTTGTGTTTGTGCTTGTCGTTGATCGGCGGTATGGTCGATCGAATTGATGTCAATTGTTAGTTTCTCGTTGTGATTGCTCTGTTTGGCCAAAGGACAAGTGAAGTCGAGGTAGAAATGCATGATGACGATCATCACGTGGGATGAGGGGCGTTTGGAGGTGCTACGGTGCAACGAGACGCCGAGCCGCATGCCCAGGAAGGTTGCTGACAGGTTGTGCGGTGTAACGGCAAGAATGCGGTCCCACCTTCCGTTCTGGAAACTGGGACTTGGAGGCAAAACACCAAGGGAATTATCACCAGTTGGCAAAAAGAGCAGAAAGAAGAAGGAGAAAAAAAAGGTGGTGGTGAGTTCGGCTAGCTTGTTTTGAAACCCCCAGTACCCGCAGCCCCCGCTTACAGCCCCCGCCGCTGTAGACAGTTCCTAGGAAAAGCGGACCTGTGATGTGGCAAGATACCGAAGTAACACCCATCGAATGTACGACTTGAAGGCTCCTAGGTTGTGCCTGTTACAGGAATTGAACCTGCAACTCGCCGTCGGTAGTGGCGAGCAACTAACTGCTGCGCCAACATCCCACCGGACCACCTATTGTTGAAAGGATGTGCGATCGGGTGACCTATATACCTCCTCCGGGCTTACCGGTGGCCCAAGCACCTTTCCGGCAGCCTAGCGGCCCCCCCGCCGTCGCTCTAGCCGGCACACCCTAGCTGTTGACGTCTGTTAACACCAGAAAATGGAAAGAGGCTCGCTCAAGTCACGCCGACACAATCACGCTCAAGCTCGAGTACTTCTGATATTACCAGCCGCCGGATAACATCTGCCCATATCTGTGGGGAAACGAACAATGTCGCTCCAGGAGTACAAGAGTGGCAGCTCACATAAGGTAGGTGGTAAACATAACAATGGGCGCTGCACAGCAACTGGCGGAGAACGGAACGATCTTCGCCGACATCGAATTTGAAACATTCGAAGAATACAAAGCGCAATACAAGGAAGCAGTGTTCGACAACGACAGACATTCAGCTACAAATATAAAGGCCTACCGTACAGCGAGAGATAGTTTGTAAACGGCGAACACTTGGATATCGTCTACACTGTCGGGCCCTACAGGAGATGCCAAAGATCGAATTACAGCGTTGTGGGAAGGCTTGCCAGAACTTCAACAAGCCTTTTTAACATCTCAAGAACGTCCTTTTTATATCACAGGAGGTCTTGTCTGAGTTGGACCAAGGCATTGCCAACTTTTATAACAGACCTTATTAGCATCGCAATAGGTATTATCTTGCTCGTAAGAGGCGTTTTCAACATCACAAAAGGTCTTGCTGGAGTTGGAAAAGGCAGCGGAAAATTCACACAGGGCCCAGAGTATTGGAAGGAAGAGAAGAAAAGGCTTGCTCATCGCCCAGCACGGAGATGTTTGTGCTGGGGCAGTCTGAAAATACAAAAACACCATACAGGTGCACTACAATTACAACAGACGACCCAATCCCATCTCCTCCAATTCCCCATTGATCGATCCTAGACGACCCCAATGTTCCCTCCATCCTCGCAGCCCAGATTCTGCGACATCCCCCACGGTCCGTTTGGTATCGCAGTTCAGGTTCTGCGGTAATGGTCCGTTTATTTTCGCAGTTCAGGGTCTGCGCCGTTTGGTGATGCAGTTCAGGTTCTGCAGGTCCGTTTGATTACGCAGTTCAGGTTCTGCGGGTTCCTTACGTTTTCCATCGCCCCTTGGTGACGCAGCAGGGTCTGCGGGTTCCGCGTTTTCCTTCGCCCTTTGGTTTCGCAGGTCGGTCTGCGCCAGCGCCTCACTCGTCGAGGACCATGGCCTCGCCGCCCAGGTGCATGCGGCCGAGAGTGGCGCGCATGCCCTGGACCTCCTCCGTCTCGTCCTCCCCCTCCCCCAGCTCGTCCTCTCGTCGTCCGAGGGCGCAACGCCCACGAACTCGTCGGAGTCGTACTCCGAGCCGGCGCCCCAGGATGGGTTGGCGGCACCGGAGGTGCTGGTGCCAGCGTGACCGGCAGGAGGAAGACCGCGCCACGGCCGCTGCGAGGTGCGGCGTCGAGTGTGGCGGGCTCGGCGGCGTTGTGGGTTGCCGGACCGAAGGGAGCACACGGGAGGAGGTGCCACCCGGGAAAGGACCGGCGGGCGCGGGAGGCGACCAAGAACTCGTCCACTGCCCTGGCGAGGGGCGAGTGGGTGCTGGCATCCTATAAAACAGTTGTGAGTCAGCTTCGGACGGAGGGGGGGAAACGACGGTGGGATAAACCAATGAGCTTGTCAAGCCCGCTTGCATTCTGCGCAAGCGTTTTGCTTGGCTCGGCACCCCTTTTCGCTGACAAGGTTTGTTTGTCTTGGCATGCTGGCGCGTTGCGGAGCTACCAAGCTGAGGAACGACTCCATGTCATGATGATGTTTGCATCCAACATGCGACGTTTGCCAATTGACAAATCGCTGAATGACACAACCCAGATGCTGGAAGAGCGTAAAGGTGGCATGTTTACGCTTATGAGGACAGACATATCTTAGGAATTGACCATGTCGATTGGGATATTCTGCCGCAACAAGGGTCTTTGTCTTGAAGCTGAAAAACAGACCGGCTTTCTTCGTTTGACACTATTTACTATACACCCTCAACACCGAAACAACAAGCGAGAATCTGGCCGGAATCCTAGATGCCGCAGCCGCGGTCCCGGTCCATTGCTTGTCCACTATGTCTGTCGTGTCCATTTGCTTCGCAAGGTCATGTCTGAACCCCTCCCCTTCATTCTCTCCTCACCTCCGTTGCCTGATGATACAACACTATCAGTCCTTTCCCACTCGCAGCAACTCTCGGAGATTCCCTTGGTACTCTTCAGCCCATCGCCAATGTTATCATCGTCCTGCCCCGGCTCGCCGAGGAGACTTGGATTGCACCCAGCTGTCGAAGCTCCATTTCGCCTTCTCAGCAGCCAATCGACGAATTCCCAAAGAGCATGCAGAACAACCTCGCCGTGAAGACTGGCCGACCTTGTCGATATCCTCATAACATGTCGTTGTTGGGCAGGTAAGCAGCCCTGTCATATATCTCCAACCCAACGAAACGGCAACTAACTTGAAGTGGAAGCGACAGCCACCATTTTGAGGAGCAGCGATTGAGAAGAACCCCCACGAAGTCATGGCCCGCAACGAGGGCTATGTACAACGATCGCGAGTCTTGGTTTGGAGCTTGTCGAGGGCGGTTGCAGATGGCTCACCGTACTTGCGACAAATGCTTGAAGGCACTGGGGGTTCTTGGGGGGACGTGCCCGAAAGCCAACCTGGAAGACAGTCAGCTGGCTTGCTCCCCTGAGCATCGAAGTTCCCACGGCCGGCCACGCACACAAGAGTCTAGGAGGAAAGGATTCAATTGAATTTGATTTGGATGGGCGGATCGCGGCAGTCCCCCCGGTATATAGGGAGACGTGTGAATGAACCGTGGCGGGGTTTCTGGTGGTCGGGGACTTCTTGAGCCTCGAGCCTGTTCGGATCCCAGGGCAAGCGCGACTTGAGAACGTCGGTGGATCTGCGTTCTCGCTCGCGCCAAGCTGAGCGTCGGGAGACTGGGTGAATTTGACGTCCGAAAATTTCACACAGAACTTATCCTCGGGACTTTTCTCTCACACAAAATTCTCAGTCTTTTTACAGACAACTTCTCGCTGCTGCTTGCTCAGTATATACGAATCTTCTTCTCCCCAACGGAAACGACCTTTGTCTTCGCCAATCACCGTCGCGACAATTGTGCCTCGCTGGCATTTATACCACTAACCAATTTTCGCTTCCGCCGCAAGTAAGTGCTGATCCACACAGAAGATACCCTTCTCGCCCTTGATCGACATCTAACTCAGAGCAGTCCGCCAGGAACAATGGCTGTCCCCGCGCATCACCAGCTTCGACGCTGTTTGGAGCAGCACGGCATGATCTGGGACCCGAGTACAAGCACCGTCACAACAAACCTCGCCGCGATGTCCGTATATCCCGGGCCATCCCTTCACTGGGAATTTCTCTCGAGAGCCAAGCTGTCCAGGACCTGATGTGCGAGATCATGCGAAACGCCATGAACCTCACACAGGATGCCCGACGTGGAAGCACCGAGCTCGTTGACGCGAATGCACTCCTGCTTGTGAGTGTCCCTAAGCAATAGCGGCTGTCTTGATGCTATCTTGAGAGGGGCTAAGGCTGATAAGAATTCCTACCTCACAGCGTATTCGTAGATCGACGAGACTTGGAAGAAAGATCCGGAAGAGCAACTTTGCGGAGCTGTTGGTTGCGTTACTCGATGCGAGAGCGAGATATTTGAGCCGACGTGGTCGCCACGCCCCGAGCTCGCGCCTGGCAGTTTACATCGACCACTTTCGCCACGCGGCCGTGAGACTCCATGTCAGAGGTTGAGAATCTTCTGGGGGGGGCTTCTAGCTGAGTTTTCGGAGTAAAGGAGCCAGTAATCACAGAGTCACTTGGCCGTATGGAGTGTCCAATGCAACTTCAAGTTCGACTTCTATTCCAAATCTGAGAAACCACAAACGCCGCGCTGTAAATGCGTGCTACAACATCTTCTAGTCCTACAACTTCGTGGGGATCGCTCCACGGAGCTTCCAAGGCCCATTCTGCTCCTCCACCTTCACACCGCCACTCGCCGGTACCTCCCACTCTTCCACCTGAGGCCCGGTCCCCTCGTCAAAGAGTACGTACACCCTCTGGTCCGAGAATGACAGGTTACTGGCTGACGTCGTGGCAAGACCGAGGTACGTCCGATTCGGCTTCAGCAACCCCTCGATCCGGCTCTGCTGCTGAACGAAGCCGCTTGAGCAGTTCCAAGACACCAAGGAGAGCGACGTTCGGTCCGTGGAGGCAAAAAGGAGAAGATGGGTGACGAAGGTGCCGCTTCGAGCGCATTCGGGCAGTGTCGATTGTGTAAAGAAATTCCGGTTATCCTCGATCGTTACACAGAAGGGCGTCCGTGGCGACATCTCAAAGCTGGTATCTACATTTGGCGTCAGCACGCGGGCGTAAGAAATGGTACGGTACAAGGAGACCTCTAGCCGTTACTCACTAACTGCGCTCCCCAGTACATTCGTCTCGAGATTGTACGGGTATTGTTTCAGCTTTCCGTCGGTCCCTCCAATGTACAGCCGCACATCTGGCCTGTCCACCGCAGCGGGCGCGGCGACAATAGGTGACCCGTCTTGGATCGGGATGCTGTGCTTGACGTCTCGCCAGGGGAACCAATCGTCGCCATTCTCGGTGTATCGCGCGACGGTAAGGGAATTGGCGCCCAGTTCCTGGAAGAAGACCGACAGGATCTGGAATCGAGTGGAGAAGTTCTGATACCAGTACGAGAAGATCGAAGACGCAGTGGAAGGACTGTATTGTCGGCTGAAATTGTCATTTCCCCACACGCCAGCGACCTCTTTGTATGGCGACTGCCGTTCCATCATGCTGCCGCTTGGTTGGACAAAGAAGACAGTTTTGACCTAGAGGACAAGGCAAGCCTCTCGTCAGACATAAAAAATAAGTGCAAGAACAAAGAGATTCTTACCAGTTCGATGCTC